ATTATTCATTTATATAACTGATGGATACAGTAACCATCTTGTTATGCCAACTTCAAAATAAAGTTAGCAGAAGTAAAAAAAGATCCTATCATTACAGTTAGGTACAGTGCCATGGTTTACAGAAAAATTCAAATATCAATGCAAATGTTGATGAAGAAAGTCTTTTTGCTGGTATGGAAACTGAATTATAGCATGTGAATGTTCAAGTCAGGGTAATTTGAATTATAACAAATGGCAGCACGATTATGTGTCATTATTTCACAGCAAGAAGAGATCAAATACTTCATGAGTACTGTGTTGCACTGTAGAAGTGTGTAGTGGAAGTTGAAGGAGTTGTACATTAACGAAATGGTTGGACAGAATATTAGAATTAATGCTTTTCATTTTTTGAAATTTCATTTCAGATCTAATCTTGATGGGAAAGGATTGTTCAGTTTGTAACCTGACAACTTTGCTTTAACAGTGTCTTCAGGATTTTCAGTGTTGAAGTGTACTATAGAGGGATTATTTTACCCTTTTCTCTCTATCTCTTCTGTTAATAACTGACTATTTAAACATCCCAACTCAGCCATTTTTATTAATGAAGGGAGATCACAGTTTCTGTGATCAGTTTGGGGACAGTGGCAGGAATGTGGCTCCAATTACTTTTACACTTCAACAACTGGAAAAAAGTAAAACCCAGTTGACTGCAAAGCATGAGTTACTCCATTATGTGAAATGGTTTGATGAATTCAGAATTTTAGTTAATAATGCCACTAGACAGGTGTTTTATCTGATTTTATGTTGTATTGGCAAGTCAGAATTAGTTCTCAATTGTCTAATAAGGATATCCTAATGTAGTCTAGACGTTGTTTAATACTACCTTTCTGAGGAGGTTGCCTGCCTGAGTCCAATTTACAACATTAATATTGGGGTTATAACCAGAAATTAGATTATTATAATGACTAACAAAGAATGAGTAACACAAGGAGCTGGCAAAAATCACTGAATTCATCTGCCAGTGAATGCCTTTTTTTCATGATGTGTGTTTAATACAACTCAAGCAGAACTAGAATTATGAATATCTCCAGAGATGCATTTAAATGTGAGACAGAGCTGGAGATAGATATGTGCACCTGATCCTGTGCTTTTCTGCACTCCCAAGGTGTGCTTATTGCTTCTGATCTCTGGCTGATACAAAAGTATTTCCAATTGCAGACATGTTACACTGTTTTTATAGAAACTTCTCTAATTTTATCTGAAGCAGAGGCAATGGGATGGGAAATAAATTTCCTCCTGTAAGCGTTCACAACATCAGCCAAGACAATACTGCAGTTCCATATGCTGAGTATGGAAAGAGAAACCCACAAAATGCAGTTTACATTTGGATACAGGGAGAGCAATAAATCAAAGGTATGAATAAACCAGCAGCTGATGAAAAGGACCGGTTATTTTAAGCTGTTTTCTATAGATGCACCTCAGGCAGAACTTGACACCAAGACAAAATCAATGCAACTGAATCGTTTGCCAAACAAACGCTGGGCAGATCAATCAGGAATGCTTGAAAGCTAAACAATGGCCTGGTGGGAAGGAGGAATTGATTGCCTCAGCAGGCTGCTGCTTTTCTTCAGAATGGGACAAGGAGAGAATGTAGAAAAGAACTTGAGCCTTTAATGCACAGACATTCCACTGCTGAACAGGGAAAGGCCTGGCAAACCTCTGCCTGCCTGCCAGACTCGGCCTAGAAATTAAACCCTATTTAGTTTTCAGTGGCTCAGAAGGCAAAAGGATAATGGTGTATTAAAACCAAACAGGTGTAACTGGGACAGGTGTAGGTTGAAGAGTCAGTGCTGACTGCAGGAACTTGGAAGAGTTACTGTAGCACAGCTACTCCCTGGTTTAGGTCTATGTCTTTTAAATTTGTATTTTAATCTGAGTAAAACAATCAGCTATAGGTGAACCCTAACTCAGCCCCCCAAATTAGCCTAGAGACTTTCTACTAAATAAGACAAATTAGAGGGTTTGCAAACACTGCACATAGGTGTGGCTTATTCCTCCCTCCTAAACACAGGGTGGCCAAAATAGATATGTCTGAATTTCATCTTTATGTGCACTTGCCAGAAATACTGACAGGATCATTTTAAGGTCTTCATACCTCTGCCCAAGAATTCATGGCCTGTCTGACCTGTTGAACTGTCATGTCATTTAGAAAGGTGTCTTTTTTAGTGCCAGAGACTTTATAGGTATCATTTGACCTCAAGGCCAAACTAAATTATTAAATCTAGTAACAGGAGACAAGAGATGGGAGATGAATCTTTTCCTCCTACTTGACTACCATGTGTTTTGGGAGTGGGTGGTCATTTTGGTAAGAAAGCTGGAGCTGAAACCAAAGTGAGATGGCTGGTTTCCTCATCAGGTTTTGGAAAAGGGCAGATGGAAAGGGACTAAAAGATATATACTTTTAAATTTATGACTCTTTTTTAATACTTTAAACTTTTTTCCCCATAGAACATCTGGTCTGTGGAAGTTGAGGAATTCAATTTCAGCTTCAGTTTGCTTTTCCATGCTGGATGCATGAAGACCTGATTCCTCAGATATATGTTGCTTTCTGTAAACCTACATAACGTAATGATTTGTCTTAGAATTTGGATTGTCATTATAAAAATTAGCTAAGACATTTAAGACAAATTATCTCTAATTTAGTTATATCTTGTTCTGGAGTAGCATCATTTAAATTAGCAGAATGACTTGCAATGTCTGTCCTTCGTTCCCAGATGCTGCTGTTCATGGAATTATCCTGAATGATCTGGTTACCTCAGCCATGCCTGTCAGGGCACACTGATATTAATTCATATCTCTTCATTTTAGAAGGATTCCTCTTGCCCTTTTTGCCCTTTTTCCTTTGGATGGCATTGCTCCCCATGGGCTGCCACTAATGTCGTTTTGAGGACATGCCAGCAGGAGGAGCTTGTGGATTAAAATGTGCTTTCAATAAAGCAATCACCAAATTATAGTAATTGCATATAATTCTGTGCTCTCTTCTGCAGTGGAAACTACCATGTACCTGTAAATTTGTCTGTCTGCTCTTAAAGTTCATGAACCTATTTTAGACTGAGCAAAGCTCAATGAAGTGAAAATTTAATTTTATTTGATTTTATTCCATTGTATAATTGATATTAGGTTATTTTATGTTTACATGTTCTGAAAAATACGTATCTTAACACAAAAGCACAACTCCCTGGAGCTAATATCCCATGCTCTGTTTTACAAGCATTAAGAGTATCAACACTGCATTGCTCAATTTTATAAATAGTATAAAAATTATGAGTAATAATATTCATGTTACTAAAAGAAATCCATGCTAATGAGCCCAGCTGAAATTGGATTCACATGATCAGAATTCTCTACAGCAACTTAGATAACATTGCTGAGTTTCAAAATAAGAAATCATGGGGCCACAGTTGTAAGTCTGATTGTCCTTGGGTACCAAGAATTAATAACATATGCTAAATTAATTTTTAGGCTTTTTATTTTAGTGACAAGAAAAATAAGGAATTAAAGATATAACTTGTTAATTTTGTTACTGAAAAAGAGATGGATGTGTACCACAGGTATTTTATGCATTTTTTCACATAAAGGTTCTTGGTTACCTTGAAAGACTAAATACTGTAATAGGAATGTGATGAATCTTGAGGTAGGAAAATCATTTATTATTTTAGCTGAGACTCTTTTAGAGTTTTCTGCTTAGAAATTTAGACAAGTTAAATAATGCACTTCCATTAAAAAGACTTAACACTTTTTTTTCTGTTAACGTTTAGCATCTGAATTGAACATAATTTTTCCACAGTGTTTTTTCCCTCTGATTTCTATGGGAACAGCCAGTTTGTGTGCACTGTAATTACAAAGGTGATGGCTACCAGTAAGACAGCTGCCCTTTCCTGCAGAAGTGCTCTGCGACCTGCAAGTGAATTTTCCACTCGGTCCCAGGACTCTTTAAAGGCTTTTGCTTTGGTAGCATCTCTCCCACGTGGGTCCTCAGAACACCTCAGCAGAGCCTGAGTGTGCCCGTGGCTTTGGCAGGGCTGTCTGACCTGTGTGTCAGGAAGGTCACTGCAGGAAAAAGGGAACTGCACAGAGAAATTCAGGGATTGTTTTAAAATATATCTCTATTTGTTTAAGATGGCCAGAACTGCAGATGAGCAATTCCTCCCCTGTGGACTTTTTACCATGTTTTGAGGATAGGTGTTATAAGGTTGGGGTTTTTAACTTGTAAAAATAAGCTTGGCTTTGTGTGCTGTGTGATTTGATTGCCTAGCTGAGTTGCTAAATGCAAACCAGTTTTATTTATTGATCTGTATGTAAGCAGTTTAATTAAAAACCATGTGGAGACTTCTAAAAGAATGGCAAAAGTACAATGCTATCCCTTTATACTGTAGTTTTCCGAGGAGTCTATAGCCTGAATGTCACCTAGGTAAGCTGGAATTTTCTGTTACTGCTTGTTTTTGAAGTTGATGTTCTTCTCTGAGTCTTTTCCAAAAGGCTCATTCATGTAAGACTGTAGTCTGTTGTGGGTCAGAAGAGACTGAAGAATTCCCAACAGGGATGTATTACTAATGTACTTCATCATGTAATGATACATCCATCCATAATTAGAGGATTGTTAATTGAGCATCATCCAAGCTCTTGTCTATTTTGCTTGTACTTTTATCACTTCAAAATGCTTTTCCCGCCATTTCTGAACTGCAGCTCATGGAGATACGCTTTTATCCTGTAATTTGCAATCTTCCATGAAGTACTGGAAGTTCTACTAGTTCTCATTTCTGAAAGAGCCCATTTTGTGATTCACACTTGAGACACCAGTAGAAAGAATGCAATTCCGTGATGTCGGAGATGTGTGCTGTACTTCGCAGTCATGTGCCAGGCTCTCATAACATCTGCTTTTTTCATGTTGGAAATAACCACAGAATAATTTACATGTAACGTAAATCAGCTACTTGTGTCTTTATGTTTTGTCTCCCTAGTGATATTCCACCTTCTGGAGAGCCAGTGAGCAAAGGCAGTCGCTCGAGGGTGACCCCGCGCTTCCCCAAACTGTCCCGCAGCCACCCAAGGGAGCCCCGGAGCCTGGAACCCCAGAGTGGGGATCTCTGACCCTTTGTCCTAGTTGGGAACACGGGCACCACGTACTTTAAGTTGTTCTGTGATTCCTTCCTAGCCTATATTTATAATTTAAGCTCCTGAAGAGACTACAGCTGCATCAACTTAAATCCTGAAAAGAGACATTCATTGCCAAGGGTCATATCCTGATTAACTACTTTGGAAGGCAGTAATCACTTTCTCAAAAGAATATGAGGGCTCTTCACTAGAGCTCAGCAAACTGATGGCATTTTCTTTGTTTTGTAAAGCTGCACTGCACATATTCTCCTTTGTTCCCCCGAAGTCCTTCTTTTACAATGAATTCCTTGTTTGTATTATGTTCTCTCCCTTTTAACATGTACATTTTTCTGTTCCAGAGAGACATGGGTATCGTGTCAAGACAATTTTTTTTTTCCTTAGGAGAATGGTTTTGATTATCACTACTTAATATGTCAGAAGGATGTGCTTAAAAGAACCTCACTAATTTATTACCTTTTGTAAATAGAATGACTGGGTTGTTTTGGGTTTTTTTTATTGTGAACCTCTGACATGCAAAGGTTTTTAAAAAAACTTGACAATGTAGATGATGAGAAAAACATTACAGGTGGAAAAATAGCTTTTGTACATTTCTAGTTAGATATTCTCAATAGCTTTCATTTGTGGGAAGTATTCTTTAAAATCAGAGAATGTAATAATTTTTTAGTAAAATTTCAGTCCTGCTGGAAGGCAGATGCAATATTATTAATTTTTACAAACCACTGCAAGGATACACAAAATTAGCATGGTGCAAAATAGTGCTTTCAAGTCTTGGGTTATATTTTGTTATCAATTTGTTGCTGATGTTATCAATTTGTTGCTGATGTTACAGAATAGTCCATCATTAATCTGATTTTGTAAAACCCTTCACATAGTGATACTTAAAAATTGCCTGTAATGAAAGTGCCTGTTACCCATCACCTCTTATTGAAAAGTAATTTGTAATGCTACTACTGTAAGAGTGACTAAAATATTGACAAGAATTATTACAAGTGATGGAAGTCCTGACATGGATTAACTGGAATCCAGTTCAGTATCCATTAGTTGCACTGCCGTAGGCAGTTAATTATGTTTTAGCTATCTTCTTCTCTTCATTAAGTTTAAGCAGTATACGTTCAAATTTTCCATTAATTGTATTCTGGTTTTCCTTTGTGTAAGAATATCTTTCTTCTCAGAAGTTTTTTTGGATAATGTTACTTAAATTGATGTATCTTGTCATTTTATTATCCATTCATTATATTAAATTCTCACGTCAGTAGATACTAAAACCTTATATCATTCTCCAGAAAAAAAACCAAGCTGATGATTAATAACAGGTTTTTTTTACCTCACTGGTTTACTAAAGTTCTAGCAAACTGGAACTTGTGTTCTGCAAACCTGTGACCACTGGGTGTTGTTCAGGCAGGTGAGTGGTCCAGTCATTTTTGGTGGCACTTCCTGGGTGGGTGGGGGTTTGTTACACACAGTGAGGAGCATCAGTGCCTGAGTATGACCCCAAGTGCTGGCTTCCTACCACTGAAATATGCAGCTCTCAGATTGCACTGAACAGCAAACTGTGGCAGAGAGGAGTGGAATTCACCCCTCAGGTCAGAAATTTCCATAGGTGACATACCACAAAGTAAAATCATGTCACAGAAATGAAACAAGATTTTTCAGTCAGTGAGAGTCCCAAAATAGATAAATAACAGAGCCCAAAGGGCAGCCTGAGAACAAGTGGGTTTGTTTTCTTTAACAGATGAATTACTGTTGGTGTTTTGTGTAAGTTACAGTGGGACACTTATTTGAGAAGAAGGCAAGGTGAGTAGTTTGTCAGTTAAGTAGCTTCTCCAAACTCTTTAGTCTGATGCACTGCTGCTGGTTTAGTTTGTTGGAAAGAGAAGTAGCTTTAATGATGATCCCACTTTGAAACAATTCTATTTTTCAGAAAGTGTAGACTTGGTTAATAGAAACATGGCATACATCTATTAACACTGAATTGCAAGTAAATCTGAAAGAAAACACTGTGTGGTAACCTTTGTGATGTATCTGTCACATGGAGATATATTAATTTTCAGGAAGTAATTCTCAGATTCAAATACTTCTTATTCAGAAAGCTGAAAATGATAAGAAATCTCATTTAGCACAGACTGAATTTTTTTTAGTTGTTTGAAAGGAATTGTTTGTATCTGCATTTGGCTTTTAAAATTATTTCATCCCTGATTGTCTTGCTTCTTGTAATTTTTAATGTATGTATGTAGATCACATAAAAATACTGAACTTGTTTACCATGTACAAATTGCTCTTTGTTAACTGTGGCTGAACTGTGTATCAGCTCTCAAGATTACAGTCTGCAAACAATGTTCACTTGGTGATACAAGATACTGTAATGGGGGCATTACTAATCCATTTAAAAGCTCAGCTGTGGTTTCTCTAAAATCCCAGAAAATAATCAAATGAAAGCCTTTCTTCACAAGGTAGCTTTCCCACTTCATAGCCCTGGTTATTTTGAAGATCAGTGAGGTCCCTGTACGACTGCAGGTAGGTGCCTAGTGACAGGAATGCCCAAATTTTTAGCACCTCAAGACATTCTAACGTACTCTTAGAATCTCTTGCAAATCCCACTTGTGATAATTCACCAGAATCAGCAAAGTCTGTTAAGAAGGTTGACCAGCTGGGATTAAGAATGCCAAGGACTTCTGTTATTCTAATAAAATATCTGTAAGTGTAACAATTATTCCATCACTTGAATGATTTGATCAGTTTATCCTGTGTCACCTAATTTCATGCTCATGATTACAATTTTTGTCCAGGTCCAACTTCCTTTGGCACTGGCTCAGAGCTCTGAAACCCCTGTCTGTGCTCAGTGAGTTGATGGGTTGGACCATTCCTGTTGGTGCTGTAATCCCAGGACAGAGTCTGAGCCCTGGGCTGTGGCCTGGCACGCGGCAGTGCAGAGGAATTTGTGGTATCATTTGCATTTCATTCCTGCTTCATCTTTAGATGTGTTAGGTCTCCAGGGCTTCTCATCAGTGACTGTTGAAAATAAACTGTAAAAAAGTGGCACAACTTTTACTGTAATGCTGTTGTCCAATCACATGGAAAATGAACGTTTTCCTGAGAAACACAGAGCAGGCAAAGCTCTTCCAGCTTTTGCAGATGTGTCTATCAGTATTCATCACAGACTGAGTGTGGTTTTTCAGAATCTCGTTTATTTAGAGATTCTGTCATTCATTATAGCATTGTGTCGACTTGGCTTTTGCAAATTAAATCAAAGTTCTCAATAATAATAATAATAAATTTCCAAGGTTTATATGAGGCAGGATATTGGCATAGTTATAAAGGCTTAAATTGATATGTCCATTAAGTCATATATTCTTAGGAAGATAATAATTTCAAAGCCAGTCTTTTTTATGGAATATATTGTTGATGTGATAGTTGTAATCAAATTATAATACCTTGCAGAATTTACTGCAAGTCATAAACCACTGAGATTGGATTAATACAAGTATTTAGAGAAAGAACATAATGGTAATAAAGATTACTGGCTCAAAATTCTGACCTATTGCTAAGGTGCTTTTTATTTTTTTTTTGCTACAAAGTCATGTTTTATTATATAGAACAATATCTGCATGGTAGCTGTCAAATTAATTAATAAGAACCTACTAACAAATGGGGTTGACTGACTCAGAGCAGCCAGCTAATAATAAATGAGACTTGGTGAACCCCCAGTGAACTAATGATGCTTCTGTCAGGATGTATTAATGGGTTAAGAATATGATCTTTTGTTACCAGAATCAGTCATTGGTGCTTTCACATATGGATGTCATTCCTTTTCCTCCAGAGAAAGCAGGGATCTCAGTGCTGCTCCAAGTTCCATGCTGTTCCCAAGGTTCCCCCCTGCCACTCCAAAACATTTTTCATCTAATGCCTCGGAATTCTGAGCACAGATAATATATACCTGTGGATAGAAATACAGTCACTTGCTTGAAATTACAGTGAGAAACCTGTGGAACAGCTGGTTAAAAGAAAGAAAAAAAGTACTTCTTGACCAAATTGTGCTGCTCTACACCCTTGCAAATCTTGGGAACAGCACTGGGCTCTTCCAGCTGGAGCTCTAGGATATATGGAAAGAAACCTATTTAACGTGAGAATACAACTTTCTCCTTGGAAACAATAATAATACTTCTGTGTTGGATCTTGAGTCACTTCTAGAAAAGTGATTTAACAGCTCAAGAAAGGAAAGAATTTCTCTCCTTCACTTTCTATAGGTGAGGGTGTTTGAGTCAGCACCCTGCTCCACATGGAATATTCACTTGATGATGATTTTGTCATTTCAGTAGTTTCTTAGCATTTTGTATGCAGAGAAACACTTCACTGTATGAAATTATCTATATGAAATATAGAATATGTTTAAAAATACCAGTTAACCTGCTTCGTGTTTCACATATTGAATGGAAGATAAAGCACTTGTTCTACACAGTGGTCTGACACTGTACATTGAAATTATTTCTTATTCTGCACTAACTGTGCTTTTATGGTCCAGTTATAGAGAACTTAGATTATTTATAAAATTTCTTTAACAAAAATAATCAGAGCATACCTCTAAACAATAATAATGGCATGAATTTATACTGGACAACAGCACTGAAATGTTTAGAGAGGAATGAATGTTCCAGATTTACAAATTTCTGCAAACATCTGGACTTAAAAAAACCCAACATTGTTTTTTATTGCATCAAAACAAGTTTATTACACTTCCACATAAGGGAATCAGTTCCTTTAACAAGATTTCAGAAATTATCTCCATGCCAAGGCAGTAGTTAAACTGTGATGAGTGGTTTTCTTATTAATCATTTAAGACACTAAAAATTATCAAACTGTAAGTGTGGTTGAAAATACAGTTCTGAAAGGCTGTGCTTTCTTTCTCACTTGACACTGAGATAAATAAGTGTCTTATGTATGGGACAAAACCTGTTGGCAACTGAAGAAGCTGGATTTCCCTTTTCACTTGGGGAGGGAATTTTTTTTTGTTCTTCCTGTTAAACTGTAGAAAATATAGTATTAATTCTTAAGCATATATATGTACAGTATTCACATAAGTATTAATAAACTGTAATATTATTTTAACTCGTTATGCTAATGTTTACATTATAGAATTTTTAAGCAAATGTGTATATATAAAATTTTCTAAATACTTTCTTTTTTTTTATTATTATTATTAAATATCCTGTGGTAATTTTATTGTAATCTGGTTAAAATATGCTACTTTACCAAGAAGAAAATAAAAAATAACATCATTTTTTGTTTGAAGTGGAGTTTGTTTACACCTTATTTGTTCTGTTCAGCTGTTTTGTATTTGCTTCTTTGATTTGTGTTCATTTTTTTCAATACATTTCTATACCACAAATAGTCATGTTGAATTTAGGGAGTTGTAACAACTTGACATTTCTACATGGGTTTAAAGGTTTTCTTTTCAGAAAAGACCTCTGCAGGATCTACTGCTTTTCCCCCCCACCCTCAAAATTTTAAGGAAATAAGGAAAAATCTTTCTACAACGATCTGCCAGAAGAAAGAGCAAAGGTATTTTTAAGATAGTGTTTAAGGTAAGATTTTTGCTACTGCACTCCAGTCTTTCTGAATGACCTTTTAAGTATTGTGAGTGAACTTATTGTGTTCCCCAAATTAAAATACATACCTGCCATTTTGATATATTGCAAGTCATGCTTGATTTTGTTCTAGAAAACGACGTGTGGCATGTGTGTGTTTGTCATGCTTATTTTCTGAGTTTTTCCTGCCATTTTTCACCCAGCATTGTAACAGCAGGCTTTTATTATGTGAGGTTTCTAAGTACCATGTTGATAACTTTATTTCCAATTCAACAATATCCATGCCATTTTCAACATTTCTTGATGCCCTAATATTTTAAAGTTGCTCAGCAAGTGCATGCACCTTATCCAGTACACTGCATTTGTCATTGCTGAATAATATGTCTTTATTTGGAAAGACTTATATCCCTACTCATCTGCAGCTTGTAATTTTTTCATTCAGGTAGGCCCCTCATTAATTGCACCTTTAGGTCTTTCTGCTGAGCAAACTGTTGTGCTCTGGGTGAGCCTCTGCCCTTCTTGCTCTTTGTTCCAAATGCCAGGCCTGCAGTGCCCTGTGCTTGCCCACTCTGTGTGCAGCATCACAGGCTCTTTGTGTCCTTGGACATTTGCTCTTTACACCTTCTTGCTTTGAGCTTGTGATATTTTTGGAGTCTCTGTTGGATCCCTAAGACCTGCCCTTCCCCAGTTTTCTAGAATTCCTGTGTCTGGCAAATTCATCCTTGCATAGTGCCACAGCTCTGACTTTAACTACTTGATCTTCCTATTTTCATAATTTTTTTTATTCCTGGTGCTACGTGTTCAAAAACAGATGAGGTACATAAAGGGTTCACTTTACTCACTGTGAGTTCTATGTCATCAACTTGGCATGACATAAGCCTCTTTTTAACGACTCCAACTAACATCTGGCAGAGCTGTCAAATACAAGGCCTTTCTTTGGGAATTATTGCTATTTTAAAATAAATTTCACACTCATATTCTATAGCTTCACTCTGTGAAAAATATTTACAGGTTAAGCAAATGTAGCAAGAAAAGATTTAATCAGGTTAATAATAATTTTAAAATACCTAATGTTTATAATTATTTTGCTTTTTCTTCACTTTATTCCCTGATTTTTTTAATCAAGTGCTAATTCATTCATGAATTAAGTCATTTGCACATGTCTCAATTTCAGTGACAGTTTCTACTTCTCAGTTTCTAGCAGGAAATTAAATTCTGCTGATTAACGTTCCCAGTTTTATATGGCATCATGGAATTGTTTAGTGAGGGCCCAAAACGGGACACAGGACTCGAGGTGTGGCCCCACCAGTGCCGAGTCCGTGGGGACTGTGACTGCCCTACTCCTGCTGGCCAGGCTGTTCCTAAGAAAATGTTCAGCAGTGGAGATCCCCAGCTCCCTTCCAAAGTGGCAATGTGGGCTTACAGAGAAGTAGGAAATGAAATGTCATTTAATATAGTTAAGTAACATTTTAGCTAAGTCAAAGCAGATAACACCTGAGCCATCTGTCGTTAGAAAGATATACTTTGTCTCCATTGATGTACATAAGCAAGTCTATTTCTTAATTGCCAGATTAAATACCAAAAAAATGTCCTTTGAGCTGCTGAACAGTTTGAAGGATCTGCTTTTCAGATCTGAGCTTTAGATACACACTAATACTTTGTAGCACAGAACTGAGCTTCCCTCAGATTTATCTTGAAGGAGCTCAGATTCTCAGTAGGCTTTTGTTTAATACAGTGATGGAACACAGGGTTCTTTGTGCATCCAAAGTGATACATATGGCTTCAAGCAGTTAATCAGATGAGAGGCATTTTGCAGTGATACTTTAATTTCAAACAATATATTAGATATTATTGGCATTTTTGGAAACCATCTGGTTGACGTTTTTTAAAGGTGGAAAAAAAGTGTGAATTGGCAGATAAGATACATCAGTACCTCTGAGCAGTTCTACTGTATTGGAAAACAGAGGGTAATTGGTACTAGTAAAAAAGAAAATAAAAGAAAGTACTCATTCTGACCCAGCAAGAAACAACAGAAAAAGTGAGTGAGAAA